GTACCTGGGAAGTATGGTAACAGCAGATGGAAGATGTGAGACAGAAATTAAGAGAAGAATCGGAATCGCGAAATCTTCCTTTAAAGCCGTAGAGAAACTTCTGATAAATCGAACCCTGAAGAAAGAAACAAGGATAAGGCTTCTGAAGTGTTACGTTTGGGCTACCCTTCTTTATGTATGCGAAACCTGGACTGTTAGCGAGAGTATGGATAAACGACTGATGGCAGCGGAGATGTGGTTCTTACGACGTATGTGGAAGGTTCGCTGGTATGATAAGATCACAAACGAAGAAGTCCTAAGGAGAGCAGAAACGAAAAGATCATTGATTGCCGATATTTACACGAGACAATTGAGCTTCTTATGCCACGTTCTAAGAAAAGAAGGCCTTGAGGGACTTATGTGCACGGGTAGGATAAATGGAAGGAGGAGTAGGGGTAGACCTAGGAAGATGTATTTGGATTCATTGACGAAGATCACCGGGAAGAAGAAACTTGAGCTGCTGCAAGGTTGCCACGATCGTGCAGCATGGCACAATATGATAGCCAACGCCAGATCTGGCAKGGCACAATGATGATGATGACTAGTATGGATGGGTTATATGATCGATCGATGGCTTGCTTTGTAAAACTGCGGAGAAATTCACACCAATTCGGCACGCATAAACACATTTGCACTCTTGAAAAGAGTAAATGAGTAGTTAGAAAACTAATCATTTTCAATCGTTTTGAAAATAAATTTGACCAAAAATATGGCCAAAAAGAAGGAAACACAGTATGACTTTCGACAAGAACGAAATCAGACAAATGAGTAATACTCCATTTTACAGTTCCGAGCGCAACTTTAAAAAGTAACCAAGCCTCTGCATCAAAGCGAGACAGGAGTTGAGCCTGCAGTGATAGCTATCTTTTGTTCACAAAAGGTATCTATGAAAAGACAATTATAGGATGCTCTAGGGTACTCTATTTTCAGTCAAGCTATATGGTGGCCAGATGGTGGTTTTAGTACTATGTGACCGTTGTATGCAAAGTAATTTTTAGTAATTTTGACAACAGTTGATTGGTTGCCTGCTTGCCTGACTTGTGTTATTTGTAGTGTACAGTATGTCATTATATTTATCCTAAAACGGTGATGATTCTTACCAATAGGCCGTTGGTTTCTTGGATAAACGTTCAATTGATGTCCGTTCAGTAGAGGTAGCAAGAGGTGTCAAACTAACGAAGACCAACATTGAACTCATCCAGTTTAGAGTTCCACGTGTAAAGGTGCTGTAGATTTATACTGAAATATATATACGAAGAATTGAATACAGATTTATAGAAAGTAATGTGAGCGTCAAGCGGTACACAAGTGTTCGATTCTCAGATCGGGTGATCGTGTTGCGTTCTTCGGCAAGACTCTTTATTGTCTGTGCCTCTTTGTCGGTAAACACTTAAAGCCGAAGGACCTGTCTCTCTGTACAGTAGACCAAAGCATGGCCGAGTTCCCAGTGATGTGGAGACGTCGGCTACTCGTCCAGGGTTTGTTACGTCCTCAGTCCTGGAGTGAAGTGATAGGGAGACGGGACCTCCGGCTTAGTGTCCTTATCCGTCAAACCATGTTGATTTTGTTTGGTCCGTTCTCAGACCGAACCCCTGAATTCACGCATAACACTTTCCATGTTTTACTAACTGAGCTACCTCTTTCATAGTTATAATACATTTTTTTTTCTTTTTTTATGAAGATGGAATATTTTCAAGATGATCTTTATCCTGACACTAAGATTAAATGGGAACCTGCTCTTAGCAGCAAAGAGTGGTTTTCAGGCAAGAATAATCAGCTCAAGACAATGAGCCTAAAACCTGCAAACATGGAATCATGTAAGGCTAATACACATAATACATGTATAGATTTGTGTTGCCGTATTAATTACACAAGCAAAGTCGGTTATGTTATGAGAAACGAATAGCTGCTCTTACTCACCGCAGCCTCCATAATTAGTAACTGTTCTTGTATTGTTATCAAGGTATTTTGGACAATTCGCTAAAATGAGTAATATTCTATTTAGTGACTGATATTCCGAAAGAGGCTCCATCTACAAAAAAATATGACAGTACGAGAGAACTACAAGACTACAAATCAGACGAACAAAAGAAAGAAATGGTAAGAATTTGTTTATTTACATCATCAAAATAATAATCTTCGTTTTCGAATAAKACTTGGATTTCATCTTCACTATAATATTTGAATATCTATTCGCCATGTTGTTTTTCTCCACTCATGGTATATGAGAAGTTAGTATTACCGTACTAATGGACTATTGAAAATCGTACATTCTGATTATCTACGCGACTCGGGATCTGTTTTCAATAGTCCTCGACTAGTAAAAATAGCCAACCTTGATTTTCTTTTAGAAATATTGCGGTTCAAATCGATGTGTTAAAGACCATTTTAATTGTCTCCTTAACGGTTCCCGCTGCGCCATCTTGAAAGGTAGTGCCTTTGCATCGAAGCGAGACGACCGTTAAGCGTGCAATGATAGATACCTGTAAATAATTGTTCGTAGATGTGAAAGAAGCTTTCTATCATTGCACGCTCAACAGTTGCATTGTGGTCTAGATTCGGTACAAACTTCTTTTGGTCATGCGGCCAAATATGACGTAGTTTGTTCTGAAGCTAGACCGCAATGCACCATGATTTCGTATTTCGAAAGAGGTCTATGAGTAGTGTGTAGTTTGAGGTTATAGCATACCCAAACCCAAAAAGGAAGGGTATTTTTGTTTATGTGATGTAAACTTTGAGTTGTATTTCCTAGCTTGTTACTGCAATGGTAGAAAAGTTGGGTAATTTTGACGAAGATCCTTTGCCTCAAGACCTGATGGAAGGGGTGGAAGATGATGAATGGGTAAGATTAAGACTGTGATTTTAGCTCAAAATTTATACTGACATTAATTGGTCAACCAGCAAAATTCAGTTTTTGATGTTTTGAACGCGTGAAAAATATGCCGAAATATTCCCGAATTCGCGTAAGACACAGACCAAATATATGTATATTAATTCTATTCAGTAAACACTTTGTCGTTTGTCTTTATAGGATGACTAGGAATAACAACACTACTACAGACTGGGAGTTTCAAGCACTGTCCTCACATCATCGTTGTTTCGAATTCATTGTTTTACACAGTAATTCTAATGGTTGTCAAACTGATTAAATGAACAGCCAATGGAATTACTGATTACTTTTAAATTGTTCTTTCATTTTAATTTTGCAATAAGTCGTACAAAATAAATAATGAAAACTACTGACTATTTAAATCAACTACTTGATTGGTTAGAGTGGTTCTCATTAACCCGTGAAACAAAGTGCAACAGTCAAAGTGCAATAAAGTGTAATAGCCAAGAAATATGATAGAAAACAAAAGAGAGAAAGTGTAATAAAGTGTAATACGCTAAAGTGTATTTCACGGGTTAATGAGAACCACTCTTTTGTCTCTATACGCGACTATTACGATCTATTACACTCTAATTATTACACTTTGTTTCGCGGGTTTATGAAAACCACTCTAATATATTATAGCTTTTAACAATTTAAAAAGAATTGTTTCAATAAAATAGATGAAGTGTTTAGTGGTAGGACCGTTTCCATATTTTCCGACATCTTTGTGTTTATCTGTCGGGTAAAGAACCTGATGACAGTCTTATCTATCTTGTGAAAATGCAGAGCAGCCATTAATCTTTAAAAATTATCATATTTAGTGGGTTAAATTTTCACGTAATTGAAATGGAGAAGGTGCAAGCCCCATCTTTTATCTTTCTAACAAAAGAGATTCACGGTAGTCTACATTTTACTGTGCAAAGAGGATTGGTCAAGTGCTTGTGGTAGGTTTTGTGCAAAGGTTTTCTGGAAGTGTGTAACCGTGCAATCTATATTAATTGTAAGGTAAGGGTAGCATCCAAAGAAAACTAATTAATTATCTAAACCTGGAGAAACGGTACGAAGATTTTCTCAGTCAAATTTCAACAATAGACGCCTATTTAATGAAGAACATATATCGTATACAGAAATTTCTTATTTGAAAGAATGTTCCGTAGAAACCGAGCGTATATTGGTGGATACGTGTTGGACACACATAGGGGAGGGCTACAGGAGCGGATCCAGGTTGTTTTTGAGGGGGTTGCATAAAATCGACTGGTGGAGAGATATATAGATCATTTCGATCCAAAATTACTTTGGTTGGCGGGCAAGTACCAAAGGATTCTTAACCGGAAGTGATTTTAAATCTTATGAAAATAATAACTTCGTCAATCGTTATTAATTATAACCTTTTTTGTTTCCATTTTCTCTGTGTTAAAGACGTAATTAACGGCGGGTATCTGATGAGTAGAATGCTGCCATRAGTACCTAACCAATAACGCGTAGGGGGATTGCAACCCCCTCAACCCTCCTTCTAGATCCTCCTCTGGCCGGACCAATCAGCGAGTTGCCCCTCTACACCTCCCCTTCGCAGCATAATGCAGTGGGCTAAAAAGGGTGTGGGAACTATACTAAAGGGAGGAATTACTTGATTTAAACACGGTAAAAATGTCGGGATATGTACAAAGTATAAGTAATATAAACTTAATTTTGTATAATCCTGTGTACTCATTTGCGTACTACATGAGGCTAAAACTGAACGGAAATAAACGTGTGGTAAATTTTTCAATCAAGGAAAAATAAACAAATATAAAAACAGGGTTGAATTCAAATGCTTTCCCCAGGGTATTTCCCCGGGGAACCACCCTCGAGCATAAAAAAATGATAAATGAAATGTGGGTGACTTGACATTTGCTACAGTTCGAGAGGCAAAGTAAGAAGTTCGTTTTAGGAAAATGCGAAAACAAAGTAGAACCCCGCTTTGAAAAATCCTGGATCCGCCACTGATACATGTTCAAACAAGTGTTAAAATCCCCGCTCTTTGTCCCGCTTCGAAAACACTTCATCAAAATCTTGACCCCGGGACAATGTTGCTGTTTAAAGCACGGTAAAAATGYGTCACGTCCCCGTTCAGTTCCCCGGTAGCCCCGAGGTGCGGCGGGCGGGGGTTTCATTGGACTAGTGCATTGCTGCTATCGCTCCTATCAATGTCGTCATATACAAAAACATTCGGATACGATTGTCCAGTCAGTGCCATCGCAAAACGTTTTTGTAGTGTATTATGACACATTAATATTAGGATACGGCGGCGGCTGATGGGTAAGTTTCAGAGATGTTTTATAATGGAAATCGGTTCACGCATTAATTTATCAGGCATTTAGAACTTCATTGCATTCATGATTTTTTCATGCGGACCTAGCCTGAGAGTAAAAAAAACATGGCAATTGCTAAAATATTTATCCACAAAACAATGCGTCTCCAAACCAAACTGCAAGTATCATTTGGGTAAATTTATTCATTATTTATACAATAAATAGTCATTTACAACATCCAACTCTGTCCCTTGGTATTAGTCTGAGTTCTGAGCCATGTTTTAAGAATATATTTCCTAACAAGAAAGAAAAAAAGGTGATCACCATGTGCATAAACAAAACCTTTAGATGTTAATATAGAGTTGTATTCAAAAACCTGTGAAATATCGTGTAATAATGTTGCGTCACGTGGTCGACTCTCCACCAAACCATACGAAAAATTGTTGCTGAATTATTATAGAGTACAGACGCACGCAAAAAATGGAATCTTTTTGTTAAATAATAACTAGGATCACCAGGATTGCTTAGGGCTTAACAAGGATTAGATATCCAAATTGAAATAGCGTATTTGCTATCCCACATTCAAGAAAGATCGTGTTTTCTTCTAGCTAAGTGCTCAAAAAAGAGAAATTCACTAATAGACACAAGACACACACAGTATAGGATCCATGATGAATTTATAACCATACCAGAATTTTGCATTTTAATCATCCTTTATTCACCAAAAACTACAATTTTCTCTTTATCTTAGTCCCTCGTGTGTCAGATGTGACTAAATTGACGCAATAAAGACATTCTTGATATTCTTGACACACGATAAGTTTTTACAACAGGGTCAAAATAAGGACTTCTTTGTTATTGTATCGATTAGTACTGTAGAATATATAATTAGTGTCTGAAATGTTTTTGTTTTTCGTTCTTCAATTTTAGTTAATTAGTTTATTATTAGTTTATCAACTAATTTGCATTAATGTGAGTTAACTTGATTGTTTTGCAACAAGAGCTTTTCACAATAGTTGTTCAGTGGAGGTCAATAATTGACAAGGATTTACACTTACCTGCACTTTGAGAAGGGTTTATTCCAATACCATCTGCAAAACAAAATAAATTACTAGGTGCTGATAGGTACAGCTATATTGATTTAATCTCACAGGTTGATAGTAATGGGAGATAGATGTGAAAAGTGAGAAACTCAAAAACAATACTTGGTATTCATTTATTTGATCTAATACTTGGTATGCTTGAAATCAAACTAATGTGAAGAAAAAGCATTAAAAGTCAAGAACACCAGGGGCGGATCCAGGATTTTCCTCAGGGAGGGGTGCGGGGCACTCAGTAAGGGGTGCACCCCACAAAAAATYATTACCATGAAGATACAAAATAWGGAAAGTATTGAAGGATACAGATCTGCTGGATCTGCCCCTGAATATACTTTTGTGTTAGAAACCTAGATTATTCTGCTATCCCCTGCTACATTGTTTACACCCTGGGATCATCCAGTTTAGTTTTTATCTCACAAAAGTCATGGATCCACCATTCCCTAGTACTGCATTCAAAATTCACTGCACGCCCAAAAATTGGCTAGCCCCACCTTTGGCAAGCTTATGCTTGGCCTTCCAAATACTATTTATAATTAAAACTAAACAGATATTTTTGAGAACTTCCTTTCACACTTCGATCAGCTTTTTTTTTCAAAGAATGGATACCTAGTAGCTTCTGAAGGTTTTTCTAATATTGCAACTTATACTGCCCTATTGATAGTTTTCAACCATTCCCATGAGAGTGAGCAAAACAAAAAGGTCCACCAGTCACGGTGGTGGTTTTCTTTTGTCAGGTCCACCAGCAATGGCRGACATCTTTTGTTTAACTTTCTCTCCTGGGAATGGTTGAAAACCATCAATATGAAAGTACTTCTACTAGTGATTTATTGAGGCTTCTCATACTCATTAATTATTCATGAGGTATCCAGCCAATCCCTGATTGTAATTTGTGCCACGTGCAGTAACTGGATACCAGAGGAAGTACTCCTATGTTGTATTCTATCTTATTTCCAGTTACTTCCAACTTGTTTCCAGTTACTTCTACCTCATTTCCAGTTACTTCTACCTTGTTTCCAGTTACTTCTACTTTGTTTCCAGTTACTCCTAGCTTTTTCTAACTACTACTAGCTAATGAGTTTCTGATGCGCTTCCCTGGAAGATAACATACTTATAAAACTTATGAATTAGGCTCATTAGGAATGCCATGAAAAGCAAACAAAGACAATTTGAAAAGTTTTTGTTTCAGAAAGCTGTTCGGGAATTGAAGAACAACAAACGGTGCTTCTTTATTCAAAATTATGACTGAAAATGACTTATTAAACTGAAAACCTTGATGAAGGTGCAATAAATCAAAATATTTCTGTTATATGTATTTCCTTCGCTTTTTTCCCCTCCCGAATAATTAATGAGCATGAGAAGTCATTCAAAGTCCTCCAAACGGGATTTCAAGTCCTTGCAATTAGTTCCAGTCCTCGGCTAACACCTCTGACTGGAACTAATTGCGCGGACTTCAAACCCCGTCCAGTCCTCATTGTCGGACTTTAAACATTACTTCTGCGTCAGAAAGAGGCTCAAGGCACTATGCTATCGCCATGTAGGTGCATGCATAAGTGCATGTATGTCTGTAATTGGAATATCTTCATCATTGCTTGCTTTTCGTCTAATCGTTTTCCTAATAATAATAATTTTCCATGATAATTGGGCTTCCTGTGTCATTATGTTATTGTGCATTTTACACCTCCCTCACAAGCAGTTTCAATTGCCACTCTCCCTCTGTAAATGTTTTACCATATTGGACTTCCTGTGTGATGATGTCACTAATCATCAAAGTACCCCGCCCTCGCTAGTACCTACAAATGGACTATCATCCCTCCCTTGCTACTATTTTGTCCACCTGTACACCTACCAGTGTCCTGATAACCATTTGTGTCAGCATATAATACATACTTAGTCCTTAGAATGCTCTAATTGCATTGTTTTCTTTCGTGTCTAATTAAATATCACACATAAATAGTCAAGTTTTGTTTCACCTCTCTATAGCTACCAGAAGAAAGTGGATATTTCAAAAAACAAATATTTGCCTGAGAACACAGTTCAATGATGAACCCTCAACATGTTAAAATTACACACCATGGCATGAACTATAGAGAAACACGAATGGACATTCAGGAATGGGCAAAAAATAACAATAACAACAATAGCAATAATAATAATGATAATAATAATATAATGTTAATAATAATTCTTCTACAATGCATGTCGACAATGAAAGGTCAGACCGCTAGTTAAATGCTTTCCAGCAGTATTTGGGACATTGTATATTGATATCATTGATATCATTGTTTTATAACACCATATTAATAATTTTTGACATTGTTTTAAGTATTCAATGGTTCTAGAATAATCGATATCATCGATTTCAATCAATGGGTAACAATCAATAGTAATCGATGATCGATTGTCAATCAATGAGTAACAATCAATAATAGTTGATGATGATTGTCAATCGATATAAAAATCACAATTTTTCGTTCATCGATTGATCATCGATTATCAATATTACTCCCGTAATAAGGACGGAGTATCCACTTTGTTATTGCCTGTGTTAGAATGTCCTCTTTGAAAGCTTTGAAGGTGTTTGGAGTACAAAGTGTTGAGTAATCTCATTGTTTTTTTCTCGTTTATTGCTCTTTATTTATCACAGCTTTCATTCTGCAACATCGTTAGGAATGAAGGGTATTTTTTTTAAATCAATGTACTTTCAACGTTATTAATACACCTTTTCAGTTGCTCTTAGGCCTCGACAGCATGTTAAATATTCTTTTGAATTTCTAGGAATGTGAGCAATGCACACACTGATATGAATAGCAAATTCAAAAGAATAATTAACTTGCTATCGAGGCCTAAGAGCAACTGAAAAGGTGTATTACACAACAATTTATGATCAATACTAGTAGCATTATTGAAATTGAATAAATTCATTAATAAATATATATGGATTCCCTGTATTTCAGTGTAGTTTTCAGTCAACTATATGACCCTTATCCCGGACTCYTATCGTATAATGAAAACAAGAAAAGAAGCCTCGAACATCTAATGTCAAACTAAAATGACGTCACATCATTGTCCACTTTTCCAAAACTACACTTGTTTATTAGACTCTAGTATCCATACCACCCTCAACAATGATTGAAAACGAGAAAACGCATGAAATTCGTAAAGAAGACAATATAAGACAATATAAATCTCATATGCTTACAATTAGGAATATTTTGCACACAAATGAGGCTAACAAAAAAGAAAAAAACTGAAGTATTTAAAAATATTCAAACATTTGGAGTAACCACATGBGCTCTTTGAGTGCCTTTAATTTGAAATAGGTGTATTTACTCACCGTTTGTTATAATTGCACTAGTATCTGGTGGAACTTTGAACTGAAATCAGTTTAGAAAATACAGTTGATTTGAAGAAATGCTAAGCACAATGTGTGAGAATATCCACAAATAACCATTTTAAAATGGCAACATTTGATTGAATTTACCCATGATGCACTTGATATGATATATGTCAGAGGGCAGTTAAAATGGAAGTATTTGAGCATTTACTTACTTCTTCGGCAGCAAATCTTAAAACTGCGGTAAAAGGCGTCGCTTCTGGAACACTTAGACTGCAAAAATGAAAATTAATTACAATAGAGAAGATGAATTCCATCTATTAAAATAAGGACATGTTTACCCCTTCACAATATACTCACACTTTAAATGGCAATTTTGGGTCCGATGTAAGCGTGATTTTAAAAGTTACTTTCGACCTATAATGAAAAAAAAAACAACACTTTATATATTTATATTTCTCCTTGATAACATTAAGGATCTGGTTATTTAGAGAGAGTCATTACTCACATTGTAGACGGTCGATTCTTATTTGTGAAGAGCGACACAAAGACATTGAACCTAACAAAGATTATAGGAGACTGGGTTTGAATGACGTCACTTGGAGGAATTCTTCCGCAACGTTGAGCACAATGATCACAAAGAATTTAATGATTTTTTTTACATTCAATGCAACTAGCACCTGGTATAATTTTTGGAATAAAAGAACGAAGGGATAAAAGAAAGAGATCGTATCTAGCCGACTATTGCTTTGATAGACTTTATATACCAAAAAAAATATTTTTTAAACTATCATCTGTCCAGTTTGTTATCAAGGTTTTTTTTAGAGATAGTTATGTGTTCAGGTGATCTAAATCACAAGCATTTGGGGCATTGAGCTGATAATTTTATTTATAGAGATAATCAATTATTGTGTTTGCTGATTGGCTTAGCGTTTTATTGCAATGATCACGTGACAAAGAAAGGCGTTCGAATAATGCGAAAGACAAGCGAAGTATCCATGAACTATCGCTCTGCCATTCAATGGGTTCAACCAAATAACATGGAATAGATTTGTCGGTATCTTGCCATTAACTATGCATCTAAGTGAAGAGAACTCAGAACTTGGTCATTAGAAGAATGTCTGCTAATTTCGCTCTTTTAGAAAGCGAAATTTTGTAAGTGGGCTGCTCATTTTACATCGAGCAGGATTCAAGGAAGCATAATTCAAGTTCTTGTTTTCTATTAGCATAAGAAACACCTCTTTCGCCGATATGCCAAGTTCACAGAGAAGCTCGAGAGCTCCCAGCGTTGACCCAGAGTCAATCAGTATGGAAATGAGGCCTCCCTCTCTGATAAAGAAAGAAAGATCGTTTTCTCAAGTTGACACTCGTCTGAAGAAAGGTTGTGTTCCCTTATTCTTCGAACGCGCCTCTTCAAATTGGTGGAATCCACGATTCGACTCTGATATATTGGAAAAACAATTTCAGAAATTCACTTTTAGAAACAACAAACGACGATTAATTCGAGCATTAACTTATATTCTTGTTGCCGTAGTGACTTGGGCGATATTTTTTGGAGCTTGTCACGAAGATTACACACATTGGTGGAAAATACTTGTTGGTGACTTGGTCTTTGGTCTGTTGATGGTCTCCATCCTACTCTTTACCAACTTCAGTAAGTCTTACAGGAAATATGCAGCCAAGGTGTCGTTTTTTGCAGCCATTTGTTTATTAGCAGTTTCTCTCGCGACTCTGAGCTTCACTTCGGAGTTTTCAAACACGGCTCGTTTTTGCGTTTGCACATGTTTCATCATGGTGATATACACCTTTTTTCACACGTTACGTCTATACGTGTGTATTTTTATCACTGTCATCTTTTCCATGGCTCACGAAATTTTGTTCAGGGAGCTTTCGAAAGATCCACATCGATTGAAAGCGCGTTGGGAAGAAATAGCCGGAATTATTCTACTTCACGCGTGTATTCATCTTGTTGGATGTTCAATATTCTTCATGGCTCAGGTTAGAGAAAGAAGCACTTTTTGGAAAGTGGGTCAGAGTGTTGTTGCACGTCGCGATCTAGAGATTGAAAAACAGGTGAAAGAAAGAATGATTCGCTCGGTTATGCCCAAAGAAGTCGCCGATAACTTGCTGAGTGTCGACGACGAAGATGAAAATATGAATCGGAATGGGAAAGAGTCTGGAAATGGGGGAAGAAAAAAGAAGAAAGCTAAGCTAGTATTTCGTCCTTTCACAATGCATCGAATGGAAAACGTGAGTATTCTCTTTGCAGATATAGTTGGATTTACAAAAATGTCATCAAATAAGTCAGCCGATCAGTTAGTGCGGTTGCTGAACGATCTGTTTGGACGGTTTGATCAATTGACAGAGATAAATAACTGTGAAAAAATTAGCACCTTGGGAGATTGCTATTACTGCGTTGCTGGTTGCCCTAATCCCACCAAACATCATGCCATATACTGTGTAGAAATGGGCCTTGACATGCTTGAGCAAATCAAAGAATTTGATAAAGACACTAATAATGATGTTGATATGAGAGTGGGTGTACACACTGGGACAGTATTGTGTGGTATTGTCGGTACAAAACGTTTTAAGTTCGATGTTTGGTCAAATGATGTTACTCTAGCCAATCGCATGGAGACTGCAGGACTTCCTGGTAAGGTTCACATTACAGCTGATACCCTGAGCTTTCTGAATGATCAGTATATCACTGAAGATGGACATGGTGAGGATAGACATCCAGGACTCAAGGGTATTACCACATACTTTATCAAAGGACGTAAAAATGGAATGCAGAAACCTCAGTTTGAAGCATCTACCAAGGCAGCTTCCCTTGGTGCTAGTACTAGCAGCAGCAGCAATACACCCGGAAGTCCAAAACCTAAAAAACATGTCAAAATATCTGAAGATGTATCTACTTCTGAACGCAACTTCAGTTCTAATTCCAATCTCTCAAATCAGGAAGAATCGGTGTTTGAAAACGGACCTCGCAAGGGAAATTTGAAGATGCGTGATGATAAGATAGAACTAGATTTCCTGAATTCTGATCCAGGAAAGATTGATGAAGAAGAAGAGAGCCGGCATAAGATGGTTGGCAAAGCTATTGAAAGAGGAACATCACAGCAACAAATCCTTGGCATTTCATTCCCAGAAGCCCTGACAAGAGATACCTTAAGGACATCAAATGACAGGCAGCTTGTTGATTTAATGAGTGAAAAAGGCATTGGCGATGAGTACTACCATGCTGACTTTAACAGCCTAACACTGCAGTTCAAAAATAAGAAATTTGAAAGGCAATACCAGAATGAAGGACAAGACTGCACCTTGTTGAATCCTTCAGTTACCACATTTGCTTCACCAAAGGTGAATTTTTTTACTGATGTATTGCTATCAAACATTGTTTACATCATTATCAGCATCTTGAGTTTTGTCCTATTCAAACCGATTCCACTAAGCAAAATAATACTGTTTCCTCTGGCACTGCTAGTTGAGGTCACATTATTTGTCTTGAATTATGCAAGAGCTTTTCCTCACAAATTTCCTCAGTGGTTTCATCCATTGGTTCTTCACACCTCCGGCTGGTTTCCAAGTCATCTTTTTGGAGCAATATTAATGTGTTTACCATTGGCTTCAGTGTTCTCTAATTTCATGGACTGTCAGAAAGTGGAAGACTCAAATACTAGACATTTCTTTACATACATTGTTGCTGTTGCATTATTACACTTCTGCAATTTTACTCAGCTGACATCATGGATGAAGACAGGTCTAGCATTAGTATTCAGTATTATATATGTAATTCTTTTACAGTATGAGGACTTCTGCACCTATGATTCGTCTTCTGGTACTGAAACTCATCATACRAAAATGGCCAGGGAAGTAACAGTTGCAGTTATTCTATTGTGGTTCTTGGTAGCCCTTCTGAATCATCAGTTGGAAATAGGAGTCAGGCGTAACTTCAGTGGTGATGCCCAAGCTGCAAAAGATAAACAAAATTCGCAGACTCATAAAGAACAAGTGGATTTGCTTCTTTTTAGTCTCTTCCCAAAGCATGTCTCTGATGCACTCAAAGTTTCGGATCACTATTCAAGAAATTATGATGAGGTGGGAGTAATGTTTGCTTCTATTGTTAACTTTGCTGATTTTTACGAAGAAAACTTTGAAGGAGGAAAAGAATGTATTCGTGTACTCAATGAACTTGTGGGAGATTTTGATGAGCTTTTGGAYAGTATTGAATTTTATGAAGTAGAAAAAATCAAGACAGTCAATGGATCAACCTTCATGGCTGGTTCAGGACTTAATACTGAGGGCCAAGTAAACATAAATGCACATCCCAACGAACATTTAAAGCAGCTTGTTGAATTTGGACTTGAAATGATGAATGTTGTGCATAAATTTAATGAACACATGCTTGGATTTCAATTCATATTACGGATAGGATACAATGCAGGCCCTGTAACAGCTGGTGTTATTGGCACAACCAAACTTCTGTATGACATATGGGGCGATACAGTTAACCTTGCAAGCCGAATGGACTCTACTGGAGTTGCCTTCAGAATCCAAGTCAGTGAAGCCACCAAGGACAAACTCAGTGACTTCTTCACCTTCTCTTTTCGAGGCACCATACCAGTAAAAGGGAAAGGCTATGTCACTACATATCTCTTAGAGGGAAGAATTGAGGTAAGGATGTTTATTTCGATCTTGATATTTTGTTGTTTAGTATGCTATGGCTATGTTGGTCATTCTGAGTCTGTTAAATTAGAGGAGTTTAATTTAATTTAGTATCCAATGTCTGATCCAGAGAGTGACAAGTTAAAATTTCTTGTTAAAATGTGATAATTTTGTCTTACTCACTCCTTGGCACAGATTAATCTATTTATTACTTTATTATTATTTTTTTCAAAATCATGAATTTTATAAATGATTCACATCAACCCAGCTGCAATAATTATCAGGATATAATACCATTGCAAAAACCTTTGTCATACATGTAGACAGTTGTACTTTAGAGAAAGGAATACATTAAAAACAATAGTGTTTTGTCTATTTAATGTATTACTTTTTACTAAATACAGTGTTCTACTTCTTTAGGTGTTTGTTAAAATCGTTTTTTTAAGACTTTGCTTCTTTTTACCCTTRAAGTGGTGTTTTTGCCAATTTCATATCTGCATCAAACAGTAGATGAAYATTTGGAGGCTGGTTCTTTTCATTGTTCCAAGGGGTTTCTTTCTTTCATACTGGTATTCCTAGATCAGTCAAAAATAGATTGTAAGGAGTGCTCTGTGCTAAAACAAAAAATGAAAGGATTTAGTCCAGTCCTGGCCTCCTTTTGACCCGCTCCAGGACTCATAAGGAAAGAGAGTCCAGTAAAACTTTCCTACACATGTGCAGAACAAGCCATTAATAGTCRCATATGTAGGGAGCGCTTTGAATTTTCAAGCCTCTACATAATTTGCAATCTTTCTTTCACATTATTCTTTTTTGTTTGATTCATTATTCTGCTTTTGTCTGTGTTGAGGTCCATCTGTCACAAAAGTAGGTTTATTCAAGGAGTTTTCACTTGCATGTTCGCTTAGAAATGCCAAAATTTAATCAATCCCAAAATGCTTTGCGTTACAAGGCTTTCGACGGGTCAGTAGCATTCTCCAGCTCCCAAGATCAGCCTTAATATTAATAATATAATAATTATAATGATAGTTTATTAGAGTACAAACACTTAAAGTGTGCAACACTTTCCACTATTTACTACAAAATAGTGCCAATTAAACAATAGAATTAGCATAATTTAGCAGTATTTAGTGGTGTTTATGTTGCACAGTTTTAGTGTTTGTACTCTAAGAAACTCATTCCAGTAAAACAATACAATATAAGTAAGTATAAATAAGGGATTACTATTTACAATAAATTACAATTATTAATAATTTTAAAAACTCTTAGAAGTGCTTGGTTCAACAGTTATGATTGAGTTATGGAAAAGAGGATGTTAACACATGGCAATTTCATTGAAATTGAGAAGGTCATTAAAGACGAAACATGTTTTYCAACTCTGTTGTTTTGTTCRCTACRTTAAMAGATAAGCTGTGAATGAAAAGTTCCGATACCAGAAAATGAAGACAATTTCATTGTTTTAGAGCAATTAGATAAGAATTAGATAAGRTTTATTCACAACCAAAAATACTCTGTTTTCCAAAAATAACAGTCAAAAGTGAGGCATTCTATGCTTTCAACATTATTTTCCTTGTAAAATCATTTTTTTATTTTAATCAACCTTATTTATAAACAAACTAGACCATAGCTGTGTGAACTCTGGGTTCTTGTTGATAAAAATCTAGTACTGTAGTGAATCCGAAAAATTAATATTCATCGTAAATTGTTATATCGATAAAGTTTGTATAATACTTTCATAGTTTCTTTGGTAAGGCTCGTTTACACTTGCGAATGTTGCAGTGCATCAAATACGGCTAAGAGAACGAAAACACTACTTTACTTAGCAGGCATAGTGCATAGTACCAATAGATATCACTTGTGGAGTTTATCTTTTGTATAATTATTGAATTAATTTTGCCATTATTATTATTTGTTGACATCTTTTCAGTTTGTAAATAATTATTTAAATCTTTGGCTGCAAGCCACTTCACATGGCAGGCTATAAACACTGAGTTTTTTATCKTCTCCAATAAATAAAATACTTCCAATCGWCGGTTTGTCCTTGGTAGAATTATGTTTGTATTCCTTAGADAAGTCCTTTGTAGTTTCAGAGCCTGTATATGCTAGTTCGCGATAAAACAATTCTCGATAGACTGCGATCGATAGACARCAAAATAAGCTTAAACTTCACTATAAGTTTTACGATAAATTCATGGTATCTCTCCAAATGCCCTTTCRAAAAACTCTCGACATTTTTTTGTGTGACTATGCCGCGAATGGTGTCCTGTCCTGTGGCTCCATCTTCTAATATGCTTTTAAAACAGAATGGACTTTTATTTAAATATTTCATCTTTCTGAACACCTCTTGAAAAGCCAAAAGTCAAGAGGTAGCACAGACAACCAGGACTACATTGTAGTTTATTCTCTTATGGAATAATGTAACTTTGTTGACTGGACATTAGTGATTGTTGCATAACACATTTTTATATGATAATGAGAAAATTTGCATGCCAATGAGCAGAACTGCAAACTGCAAGAATAAGTGTGATTTGCAGATTGCATATTAGAGTTACTCCTAGTCTCACACCTTAATTCTTTCCATTGCTTGGGATCCCTTTAGTGTGAAAAATTTCAGTTTCCAATCCAAATGCTTTCTGAAGAATGACACCACAGAGGCAACAGGAGGAGTCTATGTCAACGAAGGTTTCTCTTTCTCCCTCTTTGTGCCTTGTTACCCAGAGAGCAGTCAGAGTTTGAATTACAACACAAGAATCCCAAGCAAAGCAAAGAATTGATACTTGGTGCAAGTATAACTGCATTTTATGGGCTATTCTCATACTCATCAATTATTTATGAGGTATCCAGCCAATAGCTGATTGTAATTTGTACCATATGCAGTAACTGGATGCCAAAGGAAGTACTCCTACCTTGTATTCTACCTTTTTTCCAGTTACTTCTACCTTATGTCCAGTTACTTCTACCTTGTTTCCAGTTACTTCTACCATGTTTCCATCTACTACTAGCTAATGATAATCAAAGTCTTAGAAATAATCAATTTAACATTAATTTTGTGAAAAAAGGTCTTTTATACATGACTTACTCATGACTCGATCCCCTACTGTCCAGTCTATATGCGCTGTCTTACACCACCAAGTTTCTGATGCGATTTCTTGGAAGATAACATACTTATAAATCTTATAAATTAGGCTCATTAGGAATGCCATGAATAGCAGACAATTTGAATAGCTTTTGTTTCAGAAAGCCGTTTGGGAATTGAAGTAATGTTTAAAGTCCGACAATGAGGACTGGACGGGGTTTCAAGTCTGGGCAATTAGTTCCAGTCCAGACGACTTCTCATACTCATTAATTATTCGGGAGGGGAAAAAAGCGAAGGAAATACATATAACAGAAATATATTGATTTATTGCATCTCCATCAAGGTTTTCAGTTTTCCATCACATAAAAATACAAATGTGAAATAGTTCTAATTGAATGTACTTTGAAAATATCAATGTTATTTTTATCTTTTTTTAAAGGAAAGCAAGTCAAGTCAGTCAAATCCATCAATTCACTCAGCTTCAAGCTAAACAAGACATTGCACAATTAACATAATGCAGTTTAATCTCAAAGATAAGTCAATAGAATGCATTCAATGTATCCTTGAAATGGCTTGCAGGCTAAATTAGGCAAATTACGTGTTGTATTAAATCTTGTAATGTTTAATTATAGTGTAGTTTTCTTGGATTTGCTAATGTTTCACAGATATAATAAATGCATTCTCACTGCAAGGTCATCACAATAAATAGTGACATTTTAAATTAAATAGTTGCATGAGAACCTAAGTTAGCAATATCATATTACAATCAAAATGAATTAAATTTTAAAATAAACAATGCTTTGGGCACTAAATTAACATTGTGTTACATGTAACTAGTTGAAATTTTGCATAATCTTCATTTTGAAATGCATGAAAACCTGTTCTTGTAATGCTGAAATGTAGTCTGCAGCTTTTAGTCCCTATTTTGGGAGACTGTTGTTAGACTGAAAATGCTGTTTATTAAATGTAAAATGTCTAATTTCTAGACGGGGGCTGTGTTCAATGCTAATGCTTTCTTCTCCAAACTCTGATGGACATCTGTGTTCTTAAAGTCAGTAMCCTTTTTGGGTACCCTGTTTAGCCAACCGCCAATAAATATGCTTGGATGCATTCCTAACATACCGTCACCTCTTGAAAAACTTAACGTTTTCCTAGCCTGCGTGCAGCTGAACCAAAACTGTTGTTATGCTCATCTGCGAATCAGCGACGAAGATCGTGTTCGTGTACCGGGATATGGGTACTTTGCTCTTATTGGTTGTTTAGTTTTGAACAGTTTTGGTTCGGCTGCACGCAGGTTACGTTTACCCTGATTAGTAAAACGCAGAAAATAGAGTTCAGACAAAGATCAGACAGAGTTCAGGGAGAAAGACCCATACCCGTCTGGAAATCATGATAATGTTGACTAAGATTTTTCTTTTATTGTTATAAGAAATGTTATAAAGCTATCGTTGAGACTTTACTCAAACAAATTTACTCTAAGTCAAACTGGTCTTCGTGGTTGTTTTGTAATCGCATCCCTTAAGAGGRACCTGTGTTGTGAGGTGATAGGCGTGCCCCTATGAGAAACCAATTCGTAACATGCCATCCCGTAACGTTGTTAATGCACGGCTTTTTAGAGGCCGTCTTACACAGGGAACACAAAACTCGGTGGGGATTCTCGTCATTATCACTTAAAGCGGGACCAAAGCACTGATCTGAAGGGATGACGAGGACTCCCGCCTCCTTATATAGAAGAGTCCTTCCAGGTCACATCCATGTTCAGGTAGGCCATCATGGCTCATGTTATGCCTATTGTCCATATAATCGCTTCGAGGAAACATCGAGGAAACTTAAACAAAAGCAAATCAGACTATCTGGAAGATTATATGAACAATAGACATTACTGGCCATTATTGAGTCCAATCCCAGTTATTTTTGTTTTTCACACAATCAGCTGTTTAATTGAATTATACTGGACCAGCTCTATATTGTACTTTTCTACTGAACATTTGCTACAAATTACATCCAGGGTGGTTAAAGTGAGCAATGGCATTAATRGTAATTTTGAAATTCGTGTAACGTAAGCCTGTTCGTATATCAACTAAAAAACGATTGACTATTCAAATCAAAACTTTTAATAGAGTAGACTCTCTAGATTTAAAGTAGTATCAAAGTAGGTGATAGAGTGATGTCAGAAAAACCGTGAAATAGGTACTACACTAATACACCTTAGTACGTATTGTTTTCCTTTTGTGTCTATTTGATTATCACGCTTTAATAGTCAAGTTTTGTTTCACGGACTTGATTAGTTCACTCTATCTAAAGTGATTTTGTCCAAAACAAGAGCAATATGTATATGACAATGATAAAATTTCAACAAAAAACGCTCAAAGACCGCTCACATGGGCTCCCTGCAGTAATGGTCATCTTATTGATACTAAAATTTTCGGCCAGTGAAATCTAAGTTGACATTCTCAGAAATAACTTGAAGAGACATGTATGTTGAGTACACTTACTGGAGTCCAAAGACCGTGCTGAATTATTTATGCTCATTACTTTGTTCCGTATTGTATATTCAGCACTTTTTGGAAGCACTTAGTAATATATGTGTTCCATGGATTTAGAACTCCAGCTCACTCCAGTGTATGTAAACAATATATTCACTATTGTTACTCGATATCTTTTGGCCTAAAAAATAATACATTTTAAAGCAAAGGAGCAAATTTGAATAAATACAAATCTTGTGTGTGGGGTGCTTGTTTCGTCTCCTTTTTACTTTTACTGTTGCAATGAAAATCAACGATAGGATGAACTGTGCTATCAGGGAAATGACTGGCAGGTCAAACACTGCTTAATTTGATAGTTGTCGTGATACGACAAAAAAAATCAAATTGTTGACCTCTCAAGCCAAGAAAATACATACTTTGAAAAAATAAAAGTTGCCTATAAAATAATAAATATGTCATTGATAAACAAACTTTCTTCTTGTTCTAAGTAATTTGAAATCTTTGCACAAACAAGACTGTCTAACGCTAGAATTCAGTTTCGTAAGCATACTACTCGAGACTCCATGCGATCCATACATGCTCGTACTTCGGATGCCTAGACTGATGCATTCCGATGAGATCACATATACCACATTTGTAAACCAATAGTTTTCTGGCGGTCCAATGCGACAAAATACACAGATAGATAGATAGATTGATTGGCTAAAAGGTAAATTTCAAGTCGACCTAGCCTTCGGTTAGTCCGACTAATAATGTGAGAAATAGATTGCACGGCTCACAAAGAAAAAAAAACTAGTTATACATAAGGCATTATATCTTAGGTCTTGTTCTAATTTGTACTCACACAAGAAGATCACAAAAGCAACAACATAAAGATACTACGAAAACCCTCCCGTGCTTGATAAAAAAGGTGGCAGCTTACCACCAATCCAGAAATGTACAGTTGAAAACTTGTTCACAAAACAGTGTTTGAAGAGAGCTGATTTGGAATTTTGTAGTTGAGCATTCTGTACAAGTCGTGGTAAGGTTGTTCTCTTCGGTATCACTGCGTCGGGAATTCTAATATGCCAACTAATTTTTAGAATTTTACGTAGTCCTGTCATATGGAAGTGCTGTAGTTTGCGTGCATGTCTGCTGTAGACTGTCCACGGGATCCACATGCACACAGGAGAGTGGTGAGGACTCCCAAAAGCACTTCCCAGTTAGCTGATTTTGGAGAAAACACCCATAAATCAGCCTGAAAATGGATGTTCTTAATGTTGGTTTTTACTGCACTCCGGATTCAGTCGGCACTGAGTTGCCGATTATCAAGTTGTGGCCAGTCACCACAATTGTGATTTCAAATGGCACGCCGGGATTTACACAAAAATTCATTCCTTGTTATTCATTTATTGAGTGAGAAATTTAAACTGGGGAGGTTGCAATTTGTCCTGTTTGTCCTCCTTAACGGCCCACCTGATATATATAGCTGAATTAAGACACGAGTCATTCTCTATCATAGTGCATTTCAAGAACGCGATGATTAGCTGGCGCTCGTTAGCTTCGTTACAAAACGGCAATTCCAAGCTTCTAAAAATTGTGGATCCTTGAATGGTCTTGAATCTGACCGCTGATATATATATTATTTCAATGACGACTACACAAATTGATAATTGTTATACTGACGAGTTTTAAAAAGACAATTAACTTTTATTTGCGATTTTGTCTATTGAAAAAAAGCCTTCCCAGTTTTTTGCGATATTTGACCTCACAGGAAAATGATGCCAAGAACAAGCTTATTAACCAATCACAACGCGACTTATAAATATCGAATTTTTAGAAAATAATGCAAAAAGAAATTACAGTCGTTTGAAAAACCCGTGAGCACCTAATATATGCCGAATGTAGAAGTGTGAATTCAGAAAATTAGTTTGCTCTAGAGGGCATTCAAAGGAATACTGATCATGACCGCTTCAGTTTATGGTTTCACAGGTGATGTCTAGTCTAGTTTACTGGTCTTTATATACAGTTTCACCAGAATATTTACATCGCATTCCAGACATATTTTGGGCGCTCACGGTTTCATTCAAGCAATAATAAAAACAGATTTAAAAAACTACTTTCTAAGAAAAAGACACTCAACTGAATTAACACCCGTAACAAGGCAATAAAAAAGTATTAACGTGATTGTTCATTTTGTTGTCAAAAAGTAAAAGCAAGTTGCAATGTTACAACTTATCCAGACGAGTAGAGTATAGAACTTTATCAAGATTCAAAACAAATATGCATGAAAGTAGAGCGAGTTGCCTGGTTTATTCCGTGACTGCAACTCAATTTTTTAYTTTTTATTCAAAACTCAAAATAAGACACTTTTTTTCTTGTCAAAATTTCTCTACACTAGGAAAAGTAAAATTTTCTGCTCTGACTATGCATAAAAAACGTGATTAGCATTTGCGTGGTCGTCGGTGAAGTAACTTCCGGTATTTTGACCGTGTAAAACTGGAACGACCGGCAAATCACCGTCCACATGATAACGAGGCAAAATGAACGTGGAGACGAGGCTATCTATTGTTTATACCACTTAGGTTATTCATAAATTACCATACTAATGACCAAAACAAGGCCGCAATGCATTGCGAGTTGGGGTTGGGCCCCCCCGCGCTGTCGAGCCGTCGCTAGTTGCGCTTCACGGCATTGACAGAGCGAACATTTCAGAACGTTTTTTACTTCTAGGTTTTTCCTTCTATTTAATGATCTTGGACCGGGTTTAGAAGAACAATCCAAAAGAAGCAGCTTTTCTCATTTATTCAAGTTCCTCTGAGAAGGATTCCACGATCTCCATGTTCCATTTTGAGTAGTTTGTGTTTCATACTACCGATCTGAAGACGACAATGGTGAGCCGCCATGATTTTTGTTTTTATCTCTGCTCAAAACTCATCGTACGTGTAGAGATTCTTTACTGAAAACCAAACAGACTTAACAAATTTCGAAGAAATAGTTGTATCTACTTGATTTGATTGCAGGGGACATGGCTAGACTTCTAGTTTTGAGGAGATGACTATGTATGATCAACAAGTCGTTTTCCTGTAGTGGGGTTTGTATTGTACGGTAGTACTACTAGTAATGGCCGATCAACTGGTGGATGGGCCACCAAATAAACGGCAGAAATTGGGCACGCCAGATACTCCGACCGAAAATGCAGGTGAGTAATGTTTTGAACTATCATTGCTGGCCACGAAATTGGCCACTTTGTGTTTTGCTCTCTCATGCTATTTTTCAAAAGATCTTATTTAAATTCCCCTTCATTTGAAGACATTGGAAAAATTCTGGACGACTTGGAGCAAAATTTGCCAGAAGAACTTATGGGCTCAGGCTCGATGAATGAAATTGCAAACGGAGAAACAGCTGATATTGCTTCGACTACTTCTCCAAGTTTACAACGAATGTTGCAGTCGAACTCGGATGTTCTGTCAAGTAGCGCAAGCACAACGTTTAGTACAACTGCTACTGCTAGCTCAGCTAGCATCTCCAGTCCAAACAGCCCTTCACTGACAACCCTTACTCCTGCTAAATCGCCGGTTATGAATTATACTATGTCGTCGCCTCCTTCAATGCCAGTTAGTACATCAGGAACTCCAACTCCGGCAACTCCGCTTACATCGAGTGAGCATCACCTTTCTTCGGTCCTCGCTAATTCTGCTCCTTCATCGAACTCAGTAACGTTGTCAACAATGAATTCAGCTTCAGGGATACAACCATCGATCATGGCTAATAGTTATTCACAGGGACAGTACAATATGCTAGATATGAACACTTTACCGAACAGYATGATGGCTTCACTAAACGGCCCTAGCGTTGGAAGCGGTATGAATTCGATGAACATGGTACAACGTAATGGCCCTTCGAGTTATGGCCGCTCCAACTCGATTGGCACGAATATGAACGTGTCTAGTTCTGCGGCAAATGTTTATGATTCATTAAGCCATATTCAGTCAGAACCAAATTTTATGAATACACAAGGACTAAATGGAAGCCTTGATCCTACTCGATCGCTTCAAGGGAATCAGGTAATGTGAAATTGTGTTGTTATATTACCCAAAATTTACCGCCAGCGACAGCTTTGCTAATCAAGCGAGCCTTTTTTTTCTTTGGTTCGATTTTTTCCTGTCGTGACGTTAAATAGTCCATTATAAGTTTCAAGACGTAAGATTTTATAGGGTTGAATATTTCTTTTGGCTATGTCAAGTCAGTGTTAGTTATTATATAAGTTTGCAGTGATTTTAACGCTCATCACATGTTTTTTAGGGTCTGACTATTAAGTGGCTTTCTTGTTTTGGTGGGGTGACTCGTTGCATGATGGCAGTAGTCGCTGTCAGACTCTTGCGTGCAAATCGCTCAATGAAAAACACAACTTTTCCTGAATATCACGTTTTAAAATGTAGAATTCGTCCGTTTTTTTCGATCTTTTTTATAATTACAGCATGTTTGGTGAGGATGATCCTATTTTTTCGTATACTATTTTGTAATTTACTTTTCATTAAAAGAACGAATTTGCTCTGTATTTCCTATTGATAGAATAAATGCCAATACGTTTAAAGTAGTTATATATTTGAAACTATGCGTGTCTGTTTTCGAAAGAGTTGTTTTGAGTGTGTTTCTAACAATGCTGTATGACCGACATGAAGCGTTGCATAGAAACTTCAAACACTGTTCAAGACGGAAGTATGTCGTAATAAAGGGCAAAATATCCCCCTTTATATTTGGCCTTAAATTATGATTGCTTAACCATATTTTTCAAAAATTCGCTGATTTTGTTATGAATTTCTCAAATATGTAATGTTGGTTTGAACAAAATTTAGTCTGCTAAACATATTTGCAGCACAACTTGCCATCAGTCAACAATAAACTTTGTGCAAATGTTTAGCACAGCAGATTTTCAATGGTAACATAAACTGTCCATTGTTTTAAAAAAGGAGCTGTTGTATACATAAAAGCTGCATGTCGAAGAGTTATAAGTAAATCAGATACCATTTTGAGGCAGAATGTCTGTCACAATTTTAACTCCTTGAGATTTGTTTTGCAAATTATCCACATATCAGGTTTTTTCTACTACTGTCCAAATGTCAACCTAATACGATCATTTGTGCATGTTAACACATGATGAAGTTACTTGGTTGATATTTTATATTATTTTTGGGTTTTGTAACTCAAGGTTTTTATTGTACAAAGATTACATTTGTATGTTTCATTCATATTTGATTTTTTGTTTGATTTTCAACAGTTTAGCATGCAATGTTTCAAATGTTTAAACTTGTTATGCTGTCACTCATTATAAAATTATATACTTTACTTTTATAAAGGGGTCTGGTTTGCCAACAACAGGCACTGGGCTTGGATCATCTCAACCACCGACAGCAGATCCTGAAAAGCGAAGACTAATACAGCAGCAGCTTGTTCTTCTTCTTCATGCACACAAATGTCAAAGAAGGGAACAACAAGCTGCTAATGGTGAAGTAAAGGCTTGTAATCTGCCTCATTGTCGGACAATGAAAAATGTATTAAATCACATGACGACTTGTACAGCAGGGAAAACCTGTCAAGGTATGTACTATTGATGCACATAGTAGATTGGGTGATGGTGTTTCAATCAGTAATCAACCCTGAGTGGGTCACATGCTATTGTATGATACTTCCATGTATTCTCTCTATATTGCCTATGGCATTAAGCACCCAAGCTATTTTTCAAGCAATGTTTCAGTCATCAAATATAAAACTTATTGTTTCCACATTCTTTGATGAATTTAAGGCATATTGTCAACATATTTAGTCAATTTTATTAACGTCATACAGTTGTAAATACAAAGACAACAACAACGTCATTTGCTTAAAAAATGTTTTTTTAAATCCACAAGAAGAATTTCATAAAAAAACTCGAAATAAATAGCTTGATGATAAATATTCTCGTAAAATAAAACCTAGACACTGACAGCAAGGTTGACTCCTGCCACTAAATGTGTTGAAAATTGCATGTGCTGACTTACTATAATCGATGAAATGAAAGATTAAAAATCAATAGCATTTGAAAATGGCTTTAACATTTTCAGGAGTGGTCAAATTTCGAGTAAAAGATGGGTATGAGTATATTCAGTTGTTTACAAATAAAATTCTATCTTCGGCAACAATTTTGGCATTCAAGTTTTTTTCGTTGGTACAGCGAGCCATGTGCTTCACTGACTGTAATCTCATTGAAAGACTATAAGCTGTAATCAGATTGGTAGACTACTACCTACAATGTGATTGGTAGACTATTAGCTGTAATCTGATTGGTGACTACCAGTTGTAACTTGATTGTCTCACAACTCGACAATGAAAGAGGACGAATGCTCAGCACTCTTTAACTCATATGGACAGAGGTCTGGCACGATTAAAAAAAATAAAAAAGAGATATATGCCAATGACTTTGTTTTTACACGTATGTCTTGACAAGTGAACAACATTAATTAACTGTATATTTGACTTATTGCCAAAATCAWAGCCTGYAAAATGATATGGTCAGCAGCATGGCACAGCCATCCCAAACTTTTCTTCGTATAGTCATTGACCCTTTTGCTGTATATCCAAAATTCTTATACTCAGGATTGAACAATTTGATAATGTCAATGTGATCCATGATCCCAGAATTATCACATGATTTGAATCATCACTGTTTTATGGTCCTATGGTGGCCAATACAAGGTGTTRATGTGATCTAAAACTACAAATGATATGATGCTGCTCACTGTGTTGTTTGTGTATTACAGCAACCAAAGTATATATTTAAGCAGTATTTTTCAATTTAAGTATTTTCCACACATGAATTCATATTTTGTTTTTATATTTTTTATTGATATTATCAGTCTTTTTTKATCATTTGCAGGTACAATTCATTTTCATTCTCAATTGATTCAAAAGATGCATTTGTCTTAAAGTTTATAGATAGATTTAGGTCTTAAACCAGCAGTACAAAATATAGCACCATTTTTTTTTTGTTTCTTTTTCCTTCTTTTGGCAAATTTGGTTCTGCCTTTAGCACTGTTTTCTGTTTTCCTGTTGGGAATATTCTGCCTTAATTTCCACCTTGGAACAAAATCCTGTAAGACTCTCAGTGTTATAAATTTCTGTTCTTCTTGAGTGTTCAAAATATCTGTTAGACAAAACATTGTATTGCAGAAGTTTTCAGATTTTCAAGAACTTCAAACAAATTTATGAAATTGGTAATTTCAAAGGTTAGGATCAAACTTATCAATGATTTATCTGAAGGAGTTAAAGACCACTACATGTGCAAACTCAAATACGTATCAGCTTTAAAACAACTGGCTGTACATATTTAATAGCAATTGCAGAAAAGATCCGTAATTCTATGGCAGACAGAGAGATTTATTAGCTCTTAGCTTTTTATTAGCTCTTTTATCCTTACAGTGCTATAGATAAAAGGGAAAGTTATATAATTTTGGCATCAAGATTAATCTGAAGGTTACCCCAAGCTTTTGATCAAAGAGAGGAAGAGTGTAAGAGATTACCCAAAAATGCAAAATCCACAAAACTGTTTTCTTGAAAAACCAAAACCACATCAAACTCATTTAAAAAAGCAACTAATAATGCAAATAATAAGCAAGGAGACATAAAAACAACCCCTCATAAAAACTAATATGCTTTACCAACCATTCAAATACAATACAAGCAGGTTGATAATAGTAAGAAATATACTGGGTTTGCAATCAAAATGTCTTGTTATTCATGAGGAGCATTTATGAAAGAATTTCAGACACCTATTTGTCTGAGTAAAAACTCAAATTTTTGAATGTTTACATGCATTCTCGTGTGATACACACAAATACTCCAGTTTCGAATTCTCCAATGCTCTGTGTTAGCCTCATTTGTGCGCACAATATTCCTCATTGTGAGCGTAAAAGTGTGAGATTTCAAATCAAATTTATTGTCTTTCTTCACAAGATTCCATGCGTTTTCTCGAGCTATCAATGAAACAAAAGAATATGTTGCCTGGTTTTGAGGCTAATACAGAACAAACCAGAACTCGAAATTGGAGTATTGTCTAGCAGACAGTCTAATAGATATTCCACTGAACAAGAGTGAATATGAAGAAATAATTGAAGTCAAGATCAATTTTTTTAGTTTAATTTTAAGGCAGTTACTATTTTAGCAGTCATGTACGGCAAGCCAGTATTGTTGAAATTCTTGCCAGTAGGTTATGTAATATAGTCCTATTAKTTACTAACTATTATTTAGATGCCAGCACAATGTATTTTGCTCATATAAAGTTACAAAAAATATTTGAGTGCTAATTCTTTTGGATGAGAACTTCTGAAAAAAAAGTGATTTAAAAATAATAAGTTGGATTTCCTCTGTATCTTTTCAGTTGCTCATTGTGCATCTTCTCGGCAAATAATTTCTCACTGGAAAAATTGTTTACGGCAAGATTGTCCAGTGTGTCTTCCTTTAAAGCATGCATCTGATAAGCGAAATCAAGGTAACATACAACTTCAAAAAATGAGCTTTTGGACAATATTTTTGAATCTAAATTGTTCAGGATGATATTTAGATGATGCTAAATACTATGGACTTAACAATGAATGTGTTATTTCTCAACCAGCTGCAAATGATGGTATGCAGAAAGCCTACCAAGCTCTAGGGTTAAGTTATAGTGGAGCCAATCGAATGTCACAATTTCCACATCGTGAGTATCAGTGCAATGTTTTCTTGCTGCTCTTTTTTTCATAGCACTTATTGGACATGATTATTTTTTAATAGATAATAAAGCATTTGGTGATAATAGTAGTGGGGCGTCAGGGTAAGTATCACAATATTAATGTATGTAAATTGAATTGAAAATCTTAGGACCACACATCATGTGGATCATAAGCTTGACTCTTCTTCTTTTCCTACGTGGCTACATGGTGTTTGTTGTGTATTAAGCAAAATTTTGCGGCTGAAATGAATCTAATTTTTTTCATATGTTTTTTAATAAGAACCTAGTATTTTAAAGCTATGTACAATGTTTTCTAATAATAATTAATCAAGAAATTCTGAATTTGTGTAAGATCAATGCTCTTTTATAGAGAAACCATGAAATARTTTTGGTAAAACTAAAAAATGGTCAGTCTACTTCCAACTGTTAGTGACCATGACATGGTTTACTCTCTCTATTGTMTTCTCAGTGATATTTGATGATTAAATTAACACTGATGTCAAAGTTTTGGTCTCTCTAATTGAACTCTATATAAAACTGTCTGAATACAATATTTGAATAATCAGGTTGATGTATTACAAATGATATCAAAGCAACACAAAATAATGATTCCAAAAATTATGTTTTTATAATCAATAGTACGGGGTCTGTAGTTAACAAAGGACCCAAGGAATGGCATCAGCATGTAACACCAGACCTGAGAAACCATCTTGTCCATAAACTGTAAGTACCTGATGTACATTCAGTGTAATGTATTAGAAACCACCTAGAAAATGTAGTCTGACCAACAATGCAACATTTCTTATTCTCAGAACTCCAGCAGCAAACTTGGATTTGCTTACTCAATTTTGTTGTTGTTGTTGTTGTTTTTTTTGTGTTTTTTTTTTTTGGTAATTACTGATCTTATATTTCTTTAATTCTATGTATTTGTATTCAATGAATGGTAATCACTAAGGATTACAAGGCTGAGTTTTGTGTGTTTTCAGTGTTACAGCAATTTTTCCTACACCTGTGAATGATCCAAGTGCACTAAAAGATCGCAGAATGAGTAACCTACTAAATTATGCTAGGAAAGTTGAAGGAGATATGTATGAAACAGCTAACTCAAAGGTAAGTTTATACACTTTCAACAATGATTTACCTTAAGCCAACCTAAATTTTAAATCATTTTAAAAAGTTCTATTTTTTGATGTAAATGTTGTAGTTCAGGTTCAATATGATTTTGAACCAGTTCAATTTCTTCTGAACTGGTTCAGTTTATTTTGAGCCAGTCCAATATAACTCAATTCAGTACAAATCAGTTTAGGGTTAGATTTAGGTTTAGGGTTAGGTTTAGGGTTAGGGTTAGGGTTAGGTTTAGGTTTAGGTTTAGGGTTGGGAATAGGGTTGAGCCAGCATTATATGATAATTTTCTTCATTAATAAATTACAATTAAGATAAAAACAACTTGTAAACATTACTACCAACAAATTCCTCGATGTTATAATAGCCGACTTGCGAATTACGCATCAATAGTCACATACAAAGGAATCAAGACGAGGCGCCATGCTTTTTTGTGAAAAATCTATTGTCTTTAGCACGGCGCCTCGTCTTGATTCCTTTGTATGTGACTATTGATGCGTAATTCGCAAGTCAGCTATTGGTAGTACCATGGACTATCAAGCAAGAGTTCAGTGGTTCAAACCCTGATGAAGGGAAGTGTTATATTCATAAATTAAAAATGTCAGTTTCTGTTGGGTATAGGGTAAGATAAAGTAGGAAATAGTAGAAGGTWGAAAATAAGATGATAGATAGRGAATGGGAGAGAATGAGTTGGGATATAGTTCTTTTAAGAATGCCAAAGCAAAAAAAAGAACAGTACAAGAAGTATTGTACTGGAACAAATTAGATTAAACTGGTTCAAAAATATATTGAACCTGAACTACAACATGTGCATGTTTTTTTTTAAATTATAATGTTTACAGTGGAAGTTGTTGTGATTTAAAGGTCTTTATTTTTAGCTAGTGGGGGGATGACAGATTGATATTTTTATTGATGAARCTTGACAATGAAACTGTCAGATTACAACAACATTCAACTTATCACAATCAACTGCAGTGACTCATCATGCAATATATATTTGASATTCAATCTTATGACTTTTAAATTTTGCAAGAAACTTAGTTCYCCTCATCTATGGACAATGTTGATATCCTACATTTCAACTCCTACACACTTAGCAACCTTAACCACATTTCCGTTGTGGTTCTCATCCTTATTCTCCATKAATTTCTTAGCTGTTTTCCTAAAGAATCATTCATATCTTCTAAAGATTCTAAGTTGTGCTATGCAACCTTCTGAAGTACTGCATTATCATTTCTCAGTTTTTCTTCCAGAGAGTTCTGCACGGATAAGTCAGTTTGCACATTCTTAGTGACATTTYATTGATCACTGACTCTGACTTTTACATATAAGGAAAAGTGTGTTAGCCTACCAAAATATTTGAAATGTTATTGGCATTATTAGGAGGAGTACTACCATCTCTTAGCTGAGAAAATCTATAAAATTCAAAAAGAACTTGAAGAGAAAAGACAAAAGAGACTAATGCAACAAATGAGAACAATGCCTGGTAGTTCACAGGTTCCACAAGGTAAGTGCTCCAGTTAGATTACCATGAAGTCTTGAATCCATTCYATTAAAGCATTTYAATATACCCAAATAAAATTGAAAACCTGGGAATATTCATTCTTRCTTTTTATTGCCACGATGTTMCAAACCCTCTCACAGGCAAGATCCAAATTATAAAGGACATGAAAGCATGCTAAGAAAGGTTCAAGGTTACCCTGGACATAATCTATTTTGTTGTTTTATCTAATACAAATGGATAGCCTGGTWAACTGCTTGGCAKGTCATCACATGATAATGTTTTTTAATCCTTTAAAGACAAAGCTCTATTTTGAAGTTTTTCTTCAGAGCAGGTAACTTATGATATACAACTTGAAAGGTTTTTTTTTGCAATTGGACCAGTGACAAGTTTTTTTTCCAATAGCTTCTGGGGTAACCTTAAACACTACTATAGTATTTAATTGTGTTGTAACTGCTGTAATGGTATTGTAGCATGCATTTTTATGAGAGTATTTTCTCTATTGTACTCAGTACCTTTCCAACAGATGAATGGTGATCAGAGTGGCACTCAATTAACACCTGCACAAGCTACAGCTTTAAAAGCTGCACAAATGCATCGTCAACCTATGTTTTCAGATCCCATTTTTAATACAACTCAGCAACAACAGCTACCATCATCAACACCACAGCCCATGCCCATGGCTTCTCAGTCACAAACATCTAGTGCTGCTTCCCCACAAGTTGYACAACCTCAAGGTCAGCAGTCCAAACCTGCAATGCAACCAGACAGTCCAGCACAGAAACCATCACCAGCACATTCACAATCTGGTCAAAGTCAAGGAAAAGCTCCTCCTCTGTCTCCAGAGAAGTCATTCTCCAAGGATAGTGAGCAGACGYTGGCTAAATCACCAAGTTCATCTGGTAAGGGAACTGGTCCAGCAAGCCCCAAACGACCAAATATTGGTAAAGCAGAAGCTGCAGAGAAGCAACTACCATCATCACCCAGTACACCACAGTCTCAACCACAAGATAAGAAACCAGTAGGTTTTTGTACTAGTTTATTTCTTAGTAAATGTCCATGGTGTCTGGTCCTTTGTCATGCATATTTCAAAGTTTGACATTGGCACACATGTGAAATTGCTGTTTTTGTTGTTTTTATTAGTTTGTTTTTGTTGTATGTAAGGCTTTRTTCCACAAACCCTTGATATCGGCAGTTGTGTGTTTCCACTATTTTTGTATGTCGTGCTTAGACCTTGACAAGACAAGCCAGAAATATAAAATTATACACATTGCAGTACCTGAGAAGATAACATCATTTTAAATCTTATGAGTTAGGCTCAGAATTRGCATGGATAACAGACACASTATTTGAATAGCTTTTGTTTCAGATGCCTATTTAGGAATTGGAGAACAAGAAATCATGCTGAATGTGTTCATGAAACAACAAAGCTTATCTATTTCTGCTGAATATATTTTCTTAACTTTTTCCCGGAATGAGCGTGAGAAGTCATTCAAAGCGCTGCAATTCAGACTGGACACGATTTCAAATCTGCACAATCATTTCCATTCCTCTGCTGATATCTCAAACCATAGATGATTGATTTTACAGCCTGTAATAATTTACTAATGTGCTAAAATATTTTGCTATACAGTCTTTTGAGGGATTAACAAGTGCCACCACAGCAACACCACTAACATCTATTACAACAACATCCACCCAAGATGTAAAACCACTGGTAACAGTTAAGCAGGAGCCACATGCTTCAGTTACACAAGTAACTCCAGCATCACAGGCTCTTGCTATACCTGGACCATCAGTCAGGTATCCATTCAAAAAAGGTACATATATTCTCTTTTCTATTAGTTTCATTAAGTTTATGCTTCACTCACATTTCCCTACAACTATATCCTAAGATTCAGGGGCAGATTTTGACTAGTTCACCTAGTTTCTGGAAACTAGTCAGATTTTCCCCGAAAGTGATACAAAAAGCAATACTTCAAATARAATTATAGAAATGAAAAGCGTATTTTACTGTGTAGCTGGCATTATGATTTGCTTTGGCAACCRTTTTGAAACAAACATTGAAACCTTGGAACATAAACTACTTTGTATTGTGGGAAGAGAACCATAACATTTGCCACACTAAACTAAAGCTAATGTTGAGTTAGATTTATAGCTATATAAACACATATACATGTATTATGTATTTATACCACTAAAGGCAAGGAAATACGAGAAACAAAAAACCCCAACTTGGCGCGAAACATTGTTTCTGGTCAAGTTGAGCATCGATGTTTCTCATTTTTCATGATGTAGTTTTTGTTGCATGACAAGTTTACGATGCATGAAAAGCGATAAACTTCGATACTCAACTTGAACAGAAACAATGTTGTGCGCCAAGTTGATGGTTTTTGTATCTYGTATTTAGCTGCCTTAAATCATTCAGTACATGGACCTGGAATAGATAATAACAAAGAAATTAATGGTTTGCTAATCCATTTACAATTGTCAACTTCTTCTTGTATCAGTGTTTTTACCAGAGGAGCTCAGGCGCAAACTCATGCCAACTCTTGAGAGACTCTACAAGCATGAACCAGAGTCCCTTCCGTTTCGTGTCCCAGTTGATCCTAAGCTCTTGGGGTGTTTGGTAAGTCAATTGATTATTTGCAATCATCAGTACAGTGCAACACTACTTAGATGTAGATGTATGATTATACAAATTTCTTAAGATAGTAAAGTGTAACTTGGGACCATTACGGGAGTCTATTCTTTTGGTTTCTTTTGCTCAATTAGCAGTTTTCAACACAATTTAACCTTTCCCTATGGTAAACAATGAACTGTAATATTTTTTTTAAAAGTCTTTCCAGAGCATTCTTTGGTGGTTAAATGTCCATGTAGCATTGTATTGTAGTATATCCATATAACAAAAGATAAACAATACAAGACTTTTGATTCAATARAGTACAAGACAATTTCATACATAAATTTGAGTATTGGACAAGTATGGCATGTTTTGGGGCTCCTGTTGTAGCAAATGACTWAAAATGCACACATGAATGGTTTTTTCACTATGTTCACCCATGAGATATCTTTTCAATACTCTAAAAAACATTTGCATATCTGCATGCAGCCATGTTATTTCCTGTATTCCATATACTTTGGTAAACCAGCCATGTGAACTGAATTTAGTGTCTATTGTACTTTGTGCTCATTTTCAACTTGAAGATTGCGAAGCAATCGAAGAGTTATTTGAGGGGGACGAGTCTGTCACTCACTGAATCACTCAGTCACTCACTTTCCTGTAGACTTGAGCCTGCATTACTTCAGGACTATTCAGGACTATTAATTTTTCCTGTTGTTTTCTAGTAATTTACTCATTAATTTGCCGTTACAGGTTTCCCTGTTCTACATTTGATTATTTATTCATTTTATTTTTTGGCAAAGAAAGAAATCTAAAGAAATGTCATCTCCTCTGAGTCTCGAACCTCAGACCTCTGATTTGGAAATCGAAAGCACTGCCATTCGGCCACGCGTACCAATGTTACATAATTGTGGTTAGACTTGTCTTTTAACTGCAGGTGCTCGCTCCTGGTTGTCAAAAATCAAAGTTAAAAATAATTTGTAATGAAAAAGAAAACTGTATTCATAAAATCATGTAAATTCTATTTGAAAAGTAATTATAATTTGATTCGACAAACCATTAAGTCACAAAGGTTGAAGCAAGCAAAGAAGACTGGACGATCCTCCAATTCGTTTAGAAAATGATTGTACGAAGGTSCTGGCCTGTGCTTATMRAGAACCCAAGTTAATATTAAAATGAAACAATGAAGACTCTGTCGTAGAATTTTCCAGCTCTACGCAGCTCGCAATCAAAGAGACTGTAGTCTTTCTTGTACTCCTTTATACATCGACGTCCAAACACTTCTGAATTAAATTTAAAAGGTGCTTAAAGAATATGAATTACATCTGCAACACATCTGTTGTCTATAGATACTTATGCAAAATTTCTTTGCATACTTACTTTGACAGTTTCTTGATTACTAAAATGACCACACTTATGACTTAACAAAAATGTACCAAAAACACAAATTTCTCTCTCCGACAGACTCAGATATTTTAAGAAAWTGTCCCTTTTGCCTGGTTAAACCGGATACTATTTGACTGTTTCATGGTRCATGTGAACTTGTTTTTTTAAACAAAATTCTTGTTTGACACACTAAAACCAAGACTTTCAATAAAACATATTTCTCTTTACTCCGACAAAGGATAACATCCGAAACGTCAGTAAGTTATTTCCCATACTTTTTTACGGTGTTAAACTTATCTTTTTTACACAACTATTYCGTCTATTGACCTTTTCAATCATTGATACGTTTAAGATTACAAACTCTTTGATGATCAAATTTTTAAGAAAATTTCTATTTGGCTGTTTGTTGAAGTTTCTATTGTTTTCTTTAATTGAACTCCCGAGATATCGATCATTGATTGTAGTTGAGGCGAAGTTGTGTTTACCGTACTTGGGGTTTGTTATTATTGTTTTTTGACACTTGCGCGGGTGAGTTTACATAGTTTTGGCTAGACTAGGATTTATCTCAATCGCCGGCGCTATCCAGAACCGAAGTTAAATTAATAAAATATAATGAAAAAAACTATATTCATAAATCAGATACTCAAAATTCTATTTGTCAAGTAATTATAATTCGATTCATCATATCGTTCTTTATTCGTCTACACAATCAATCTTTGATATGTGTTGCCATTGGCGGCTTGATTATAACATGCAAAAGTTTTTCTACTGCAAAAGATTTTTACTCACAGAATCTACAGTAATCAGCAAAGACATTTACAAATGTATGTGTTTTTATTTCTTTTAGGATTATTTTGATATTGTCAAACGACCAATGGACCTTTCCACTATTAAGAGAAAGCTTGATACTGGACAGTACAAGGACCCATGGGAGGTATTATATATTCTTCTAATATAAAACATAATCTTAATTTTTAATATGGCTTCAGCAACTCAAACACTAATGCCAATTAAAAGCAAAAAATTCTCAGCAAAAATATTCAAACACAAGTTCCGATTCTACTTGAATTATCATGATACCTTAAAACTGTTTAGACCATAGTGTAGTAGGTTATTATTGTTACATATTTATATACACAATTATTGGCTTTTGTGAAATTCAAGGAGAACACTAGGAAAAAKTGTCCACAAATGGAAATTGGACCTCACCATGTATTAATACATACCTTTTTGTTTCACAGTATTGTGATGATGTTTGGCTCATGTTTGATAATGCCTGGATGTACAACCGCAAGACATCCAGAGTTTATAAATATTGTACAAAGGTATATAATGGTGAACTTGTATCTTATCAATTTGATTGACCTCATTCTTGTCATCTCAAGGTTGTCTTGTGGTGCACCTTTTCCAAAAAGTATATATTATGTCAATTAACTCTTAATTTTCCGTGGTTTAAATAGTTGTCTGAAGTTTTTGAACAAGAAATAGATCCTGTCATGAAATCTCTTGGGTATTGTTGTGGTAGAAAGGTAAGAATACATCAAATGTATGTACTGTTATACAAGGCAGTCTTGATGAAGTCAAAGAAGCTCTAATAAAGAAAAATTGTCATTTCACTTTACAAAACGACAGGAATGTATTGCCACAAAATGACCAAAAACCTTTTGAAATACAAACCATTGGAGCAAAATCTTTATCACAGTCACATATGATGCCCTAGTTGATTAATAATTGTTGGATTGTTGGTCACTAATTTGAATTTCAAAACACAAGAACAAGACTTTGCAATAAGGAGCAAATAACAGGAGATCACTCTTGGGTTGCCAAGGATGATTTATAATTCAATTARCCACATTTGCTTAGCAATTTGATTACATTATGTTTTGTAGTATGTATTCCAGCCTCAAGTTTTATGCTGTTTTGGAAAGCAGCTCTGCACCATACCAAGAGATACAACATATTATACTTATCAAAACAGGTACAAGACATGCAGATATTAAGCTATTGCTGCTATATGCAAGTTTACAGGATGATATTTTTGTATCATTAGAACTGGAGTGAATTTAACAGATAATAATATTGAGGGTTAGACCTTAACTCTTGAACTGATTTATGTATTTGTTTTCTCAGATTCCACTATTGTGAGAAGTGCTTCAATGAAATTGAAGGGGACATTGTCAACCTTGGAGAAGACCCAACTTTGCAACAAAGGTATTGAATATTCCCATGCACAAGTCAAATAGGTTGCTCTGATGAAGTCATTTCTTGTTCTGTATTTATTTTGTGTGTGTGTGTGGCGTAAATTTTCAATGGTATAAATGATTCTGTTTCAGTACAATTCCCAAGTCACAGTTCCAAAAATTAAAGAATGACCATTTGGATATGGAACCGTGAGTATTTTCCTGTAGTATTTGAAAATAATTGATAATGGCAGCACTCGCAATGCCATGAACAAAATGCATCGTCACAGCCAGTGGAAAGCATAGTATGGGTACTTTAAGGGTAGTGTCCTTCCAGGTTTTTCATTGGAGCTTATATGCAAAAGTATAGAATTTAGTATAAAAAKATAAGCCTATTAACTGACCAATGAATTCGTTTCGTTACAAAAAACGTTTTTCATTTCACTCTTTTGAGCTGTGATAAAAATGACGAACTACAAATTTGACTTTGCCACCTTTTGCTCATGTTTGTTATAGGTTTGTGGAGTGCATTGACTGTGCTCGTAGAGTTCATCAAATATGTGTCCTTCACAATGATTATATTTGGCCTAATGGGTATGTATTGCTGCTCTACTATATTTTGCTTCTTTAACTTAATTCATTTATGTTCTTTTTTTCCAAAAGGTTCCAGTGCGATACTTGCCTCGAACGAAGAGGTTCAGTCCGAAAGGAAAATAAATATAATGCAAAAAGTAAGACATTTATCTTAAGGATAGTTAAAAGACATAGTGGTCTTGATCTTATACTCGTGAACTGATCCTAGGCTTGGTTTTATGTGATACAAACATTGTGTCTGTAACCAAATCAGAATGATTATTGCCTGGTATGACTCTTGTATACCTGATAATGAGAGAAACAATTTGCTTGAAATAGCATAATAGTTCATGGTTTATGTTAAGTCTACATATGCTTCTTATTTTACTACAGGACTACCGCACTCTAAACTTGGAGAACTAATTGAAAGAAGAGTTAATGGATTTCTGAGGAAGCAAAATTGTTCAAATGAAGTAACAATACGAGTTGTATCAAGTGTCGACAAAATTGGAGACATTAAACCTGGAATGAAGACAAGGTACTCAAATACTCACAAGTATTTCTTTGGTTTTCTGTTGTGTTAGTCCAACAAATTTATTAATTATTCATAGAAACGTGTCTTTCACGTCATTTCTTTTTTCCGTGCGAATGTCAAACAATGCCTCAGTTCAGTGATATCATGCCTTTGCTCCACTCTATGTATGTTACATGATTAACAATCAACTCTTTGTTTAGATATGATGGGTCTGGTCAATTACCTGAGAGTTTTCCATACCGAGCTAGAGCTATGTTTGCATTCGAAGACATTGATGGGACTGATGTGTGCTTCTTTGGTATGCATGTCCAAGAGTATGGATCTGACTGCCAACAGCCAAACACAAGACGAGTATATGTGTCATACTTGGACAGTGTGCACTTCTTTACCCCTCGTCATCTTCGAACTGCTGTCTACCATGAGATCTTGATTGGTTATCTAGAGCATGTGGGACAAATTGGGTAAATAGATCGTGCTAGTTTAATGCTATTTCTAGAGAGTATTTGTTGTTGTGGTGTTACCATTTAATTTTCATATTCACTGCGCATTTCCCTTGTCACGSGGTGTTTCTAATAAAGAATTGTTTTCAGTTATCAGATGGCACATATTTGGGCATGTCCTCCCAGTGAAGGTGATGACTACATTTTTCACTGTCATCCAGCTGAGCAGAAAATCCCAAAACATAAACGACTTGTTGAGTGGTACAGAAAGATGCTGGACAAAGCTATCATGGATAGGGTTGTCATTGAATACAAGGTAATGTTTGTTATTGCTTGCCTTTTTGCATTGTCTTGGTGACTCTTGATCTTATAAAAACAGATCCAAGTTTGCTTGCTCACACAGTCAACARCACATGAATTTTTGTTTTTGTTTTTWAAAGAAATTAGTGAATACAGATTCAGTTTGCCTTGATACCCTTTTGTTATAGGACATTCTGAAACAAGCAAGTGATGATGGGCTTACATGTGCTAGTGAACTTCCATAYTTTGATGGGGACTTTTGGCCCAATGCCCTTGAAGACAGCATAAGAGAATTAGATCAAGAAGAAGAAGAACGAAAAGCAAGTGCTGCAGCTGCAGAGGCCTCTGGAAAAGATGTAAGTAACAATTTTTGTTCATATGTCAGATTTAATCCTTTTGATAGACATTTTTCTCAGAATTTATTAATCGATGTATATCTGACAATATGGTAGCGAGTTATTTGAAAAAGAAGAATTTTCAACTTTCACAAGCGAAGCTGTCTGTTCTCCCTATGATGCTCTAATAATCGCAGTAGTTACTTCCAATGACGTATACTTATATCATAATCTTTGTTCCATAAGATTAGAAATAAGGTTTGGTTTATATGCCTAGGAGAAAAGCTAGATCTGAAAAACCTGTTTGAGGTATAAGGTTGATAGTCAGAAAGCACTGTTACCAGAAAACTATAAAGAATGTACCCAAGCCAAATTTGCTTACCTATTTTTCGTTGTTTGTAGAGTCAAGGTAGTAAAAACAAAGGAAACAGCAAACGAAGTAACAACAAGAAGGCAACTAAAAGCAAAGCAAGCAATCGCAAGACAAACAAGAAAATTAACGGTCCTGGAACTGAGTTGTGTGACCTTTCCCAGAGATTATACATAACAATGGAAAAACATCGAGAGGTACTAGAAAACCCAGAAATTATTTGTTACTAAATCATAACGTCCCTTAATACTGTAGTGATTTACGTACAAAAAACACAAATGTTTTTTTAAGAGAATACAGTCTACCATGTCACAAAATCATCCAGAATGTTGAAACATGTGAACATGGAGAAACTCGTCCGTTTTCTTTGGTTTCAAATATGCTGTAGCAATAATATTTTGTAGACCGTAAATAGCAAATATCAGAGGCATAGCATTTATAGCGTAAATATGTACATGTACGTGCATATTTAAGGGAATTGCTTCCCATGTATTTTTGATGCCAAAAGTCATAAATCTGAAAATAATGATAACAATAAGCTACTTTGCAAACTTTTGGAGGTCACGGCAGTCTTTCTTATTTGCCTGGAAGTCAGGCTCACCATACCTTTGTCCCACCGTCGCATATAAACACTTATTATATAAACACTTATTTACACGCACGTCGGGAAGACGTGTTGTCCACCGCGGTTTTCCATATTCCGCTTCTTTCAGCACCTCAAAATATACTGTGAACTTGGTAATTTGATAAAATGTTCTTATGATATTATACGACGTTGGTAGTCCATTTACAAGAATGTGTGAATTGTGTTTTAGGTCTTCTTTGTCATTCGTCTCAATGGTCGAAAAACACCTGAAACAGCGGATCCAGATTCATTGATGTCGTGTGACTTGATGGATGGACGTGATGCATTTCTAACTTTAGCYAGGGAAAAGCATTACGAGTTCTCTTCCTTACGTCGAGCCAAATTCTCTACAATGGCTATGTTGGTAGAACTTCATAACCAAGGGCAAGACCGGTTTGTGTACACTTGCAATCTCTGCAAAAGACACATTGAAACCAGATATCACTGCGTTGAATGTGAGGTACGTCTAAGTGAAAACAAGAAATATTTGTTCGTAAAATGCCAAATCGGATATTTGATTTTCGACTTTGGCTTGTTTCAAATCAATTACATCTTAAAGCTAATTAATCTCCAGAACAGTCATTCCCTTATACTATTATGTATTCAAATTTTTTGTTCGATTTTCCAGAATATTGCCCTGTCTCATTTTGATAAAAACATTAGGATTCTTTTAGATAAACATAACAAACARTATGTTCATGTTTTAAGAAATTCCTCATAGCTGAAGTACTTTTTTGACTAATTTTATCTATGTTATTATCTGATAAGTCTTTTGTTAATACCAATGGATCAAAACTTTTCGTCAAAATTAAACGCGACCTAACGGTATCAGAGTAAAGGTGAATGACTGTTTTAGATGTTGGTTAAGTTAAACAGTAATAACTTCAAAGAAGCCAAAGTTATGAGGCGAATTGTCGATTTGCCATGTTAGTYKAATGAGGGGGAGAGGAGGGGYGACGAACTACTAAAGGCCGGATAAAGCAGGGTCCCAGGGAYTTTTGAATTTTGAGGAGTTTTGAGAACATATTTATTAAAATATTTCTTTACACTGCCAAACGGTATTAGTGAAGGTCTAAATAAACATTTTGTTGGATTTGCATTCTCATGAGCAGGATAGTTTTCCGAGAAGCAAATAGATGACTTAGTGAGTGACAGATCGTTCACCGACAATAACTATATATTTGAAATGCTTTTAGTTTTAAGTCATAATGTCTGAAATATTTTCCAGGACTTTGACTTGTGTGTGCCATGCTATGAAGAAAAGGGTCATGACCACAAGATGGAGAGACTGGGATTTGATCTTGATGTTGATCAACAGAATCAGCAAGAACAGGATGGGAGCAAAAAAGGTCAACAACTCACTGCTCAAGAAGAACGCAGAATTAAGATTCAAAGATGTATTCAAAGTCTTGTTCATGCAACACATTGTCGCGAAACTAGCTGCACTGTAATAAGCTGTGCTAAAATGAAAAGGGTGGTTGAACATACAAAGTCATGTAAGAGAAAAACAAGCGGMGGTTGTCGAATCTGTCAAGAACTTATTCATTTATGTTGCTATCATGCGAAGCACTGCATGGAGAGGGAATGTGTGGTGCCATTCTGTAGGCACATAAAGGCAAAATTACGGCAACAGCAAATGCAACAGCGGTTTAACCAACATCAAACTCTACGTAGACGAATGGCACAAATGGCGAGAAGTACGATGCAGCCACCAGCGCCAATGCCTGGCCAACAACCGACAAATGTTCCCCAGGCTCTGCCGCAGCCACCTCATCCAGGTATGCATCAACAACCAACCAAGCAGATTCCCACCCAACAACCACCACCTTACCAACAGCCTCAAAAGCCTGTAGTAACTAACCCACCRCCAGGGGCTGTCGCTGCTGTCCAGAAAATCACAAGAGATGCTATCCAACAAGCTCAAAACAGGCAACCAATGACACCTCCTGTTGGACAGCCATCCTTTCCACCTCAACAGCAACAACCTCAAGTGTCCTTACCCCCTCAACAAGTAATTGGATCACCCAACTCAAATATGCAAGGAATTGGAATGCCACACAATCCTGCGTTTATACAGCAGAACATGCAAAATCAAGTCAATCAACAGATGCAACAGATGCAAGGAATGAGACCATCAATAGAACGATGGCAAAACATGTACCAAAATCCACAGCAGCCGCCACAGCAACAACATCCAAACCAAGTAAATACTAACGTGGCCGGTGGTCAGTCCTTCCCTCCAATGAGCTCGCAACAAAGCGTACCTCCAATGGGTATGCAGCAGAACCATATGCGACCTCCAACAAACATACCACCTGCCTTGCAACAACTACTACAAACGCTAAAGTCTCAAAGCCATCCACATCAATACCAGCAGGCTCAGGTTGTGCAAATCCTTAAACAAAACCCTCAGCTGATCAAAGCTTTTATGCAGCATCGTCAACAACAACAATTCTTGAATCAATCACAGCAGCAACAGCAACAACAACAAGGCATGCAGCAAGGCATGCAGCAAGGCATGCCCCAAGGAATGCAACAAGGAATGCAGCAAGGAATGCCACAAGCTATGCAGCAACAAATGCACCAAGGAATCCCGCAGGGAATGCAGCAAGGGATACCCCAAGGAATGCAACAAGGTGGCGTCCAGCAGGGAATTCAACAAAATATGCAACCAACTATGCAGCAAGGCATTCAACAAGGAATGCAGCCCGGTATTCAACAAGGAATGCAACCAGGTATGCAGCAAGGTGTGCAACAAGGTATGCAACTTAGTATGCAACAAGGCGTACCTCAGAATATACCTCAGAATATGCAACAGCAGGCATTGCAGCAACCAGGTATTCAGGCTCAAATACCTCAAATGAACAATTCAGGACAATCTAGTATGCTTACTGCACAACAACAACAGTGGATAAGATTTCAGCAACTGCAACAATTCAAACAGAAACAGCAACAAGCGCAGCAGCARCAACAACAAGCGCAGCAGCAGCAGCAACAACAACAACAGAATGTATTTCAGCAACCGCAAATGTCTCCTTTTTCGCAAATGAATGCCGCCGCAAGGAGAGCCCAATTGCAGAACATGAACAACGCGCAACCAAACATGATGCATCCCAACGGGCAAGCACAGCCTTCACCACCACAGCACTATCAAGCAAAGCAAAACCAAATGCAAGTCCACATGATGTCCCCTCAAGCTCCTCCTATGTCACCTCAACAAGGAGGACTTCCATCCCAGTCTCCTCGGCCTGTCATGTCACCTCAACCATACCAAAACACCGTTTCTCCAAGGCAACAAACGGTATCACCTCATCCACAGCAGTCATTAACGTCGCCTCATCCTTCAGCATCACCTCATCATAGTCTCGACCAATCTCAACCACTAGACAAACCTCTCTTCGCTCAGCCACTCGCCACGCGAGGAATGAACCTTCCTCCATTACAAACGCCTACTGAGCAAGAACTTTCGATAGGGCAGGAGGATCCAGAGACAGTACCTCCTCTTACTCCTCAAGACCAATTAACGAAATTTGTCGAGAATTTATAGTACAGATTTTAAAACAGAATCATGACAGAAAAAGAGCTGTACTTTATACTTTGTATGTAGTTTTATGTCGCCGATGAAAGTATCGTGGCCCAAGAAATTTTCTACCATTTATATCGTTATATATAATTAATTTGTATAGCAGCTCAGAACAAGTGCCTGTAATACAGACTCAGTTGCAAGCACTGAGCAATGTAATTTTAGTTTTAGAATAATAATTTTCAGCAACTCGGTCGCTAAGACACTGTACAAAGCGCACGTTCTTACCGATACATACTATTGACGTGCATACAGTATAATAAATGTATGCACTTTCCAAAACGCTTGACATAGAATGATGTGTTCATTTACTGTTTACAGTAGTCTCTATAAATTATACATACATTAAAATATGCCAAGATCGTTTTGCTCGAGAAGAATGCCAACACGACAAGATCGTGGTAAGCGTCCAAACGCTTTATTGGCATTATATTTTTTATGAATAAAGGAAGGATCTTACGAAGTGCCTAATTGTCGCAGTGATTTTTACGACATAGTGTTACATAAATACATCTCACTCAAACAAATGGTAAAAGCTAAGTTCGTGTAGATGTACACAATTTTGTCTCGCGCCTTCTTTTGATTTTGATCATGCCAATTGCAAACCATTTCTTTAAATTAAGCCAGAGAAGGGACACGAGAGAATGATGCATACCGCTAATTAAACAGAAAATCGTCCGTGATTAGTTGAGTTTCGCTATTTCCTTTACACTGTGTTAGCCTCAATTGTGTGAAAAATATCCATAAATTTAAATAATACTCGTGATATTTCAGACTATTTCCATTGTCTTTTATACTCACGGATCTCTTGCATTTGTACGGGTTGTTAGTGAATAAAAGAATTTCATACTATACAATTATATGATAAATAGAATATTACATGTTCGCTTGGAGATACGAATTTTATCTTCTCGTGTTGAAAATATCACGAGTGAGCGCAGCGATCTTTTCCTCRACACTCGAAGATAAAATCCRTATCTCCGCGCGCCCATGTAATATCCTCTATTAAATGGTTTTGAGGCTTACACAGCGTAAAAGAGAGCTAAAACGGTTTATTCTTCGTTTTAAGCTTGTCACAGTATCTATTGTTCATTCCTCCAACATGGCCGCCAGTCTTATCTTTTGAATCTCATGGGAATGGGTGAAAATGATCAATAACGCCATATGTTCTCACAGGTTTTTTGGCAGCAGTTGCATTCATATTAAAGTAGTGGAAATTTTACCTACAGCTGAAACTTCTCAGGGGTGTTGAGAAAAATAAGATGAAATCTGGCGCGATCAACTTGGCAAGCAACAAAATCCTCCTTGAGAGTTGAAGAAATCTCGCACGCTGATTGGTTGATTTTGTTGCGTACCAAGTTTCAATCTCGATGAAAAACGAGAAACAAAGCCAAATTGTATATCTGAAAGTAGAGGGAGTATTTGATTTGCGCAAMAATTAACTTTCTTCAGCTCGCACCCGCGGGGAACTCGCAACAGAGGACTTTGTTGCGTGCCAAGTTGATCGCGCGCGATGAAAAACAAGAAACATCGAACCTAAACTTSAACAGAAACAATGTTGCGCACCAAGTTGATGGTTTTTGTATCTCGTATTTCGCCGCCTTAACTCTACTTGCACTCGATTCTCTTGCCAAAAGCCCTTTTCATGTCAACGTCTAACTGCTCCACAATAATGATGAACGTCCAAGGATTTCTTTGAAGCATTTCATAACTGAATAATCTCCTTCACGGTTACCTGCGCCATCTTGAAAGGTAGCCGTGCCTTGTCATCGAAGCGAGACAACAGTTGAGCGTGCAATGATAGAAACCTTATTTCACACCTACAGACAATTATTCACAGGTTTCTATCATTGCACGCTCAACGGTCGTCTCGCTTCGATGCAAAGGCACGGCTACCTTTCAAGATGGCGCAGGTAACCGTGAAGAAGACTATTCCTTTCGAACCATAGATTCGAAAATTCGGTCTCCAGTAATACCGACAGCAACGTACTACAGTATTCTCAAATATGGCGTAAAACATCTAAAAATCGAATACTCCAACCAGGAAGGTAAGGTTATTGAAGAAAAAAAAATTATTCTTAAATTTATTCGACATTCTTTAATACTTTGTCGCGAGCCTAAGCTATCTTTGATCCAAACTGCTCACCAGCGTAAATCTTCGACATGCACCTAACCACCAATAAGTAGTCCTGAGATTAATTCCTAAATAGCAAAAGGTCTTTTTCTTGGACGTTTTTGTAATTAAGTGTTTGTTCGATTATCCCCATGATCCTTTTCGGTGTGGGCGCGTTTAGTCAAATGACTGTATACATACAAGCCTCTCGCATACCTCACCATCGGCTTCGGCGACTCATCCGAATAAAACAGASAGAGCAGAGACTTTGAGCAAGTCAGCCGACATACCAAATAAGTATACACCCCATTCGTACAACCAGTTACTAGTCCTACTTGCCCAGTAAACAAACTCCAGCACATTAATACAGAATATTCACGAACTTTTCAATTCGTATTACCTTTTAATGAGCTGATATCGTTCATACAATGAAGGAATCAATGAAATTGGATTATCCTTTGCACTGATATTAAAATTAAAACTATTTACAAAGAAAGAAACAATCTATTTCGTATGAGTGGGACACCGTTACCGCACGGTTACCGCAAAGTGACCGGACCTAGCCTGCACAATTTTAGTGAAGCAATAAGACACTAGAATTCGGTTACAGTACGATTACGGTCACAGTACAGTACCGTCCGTTTCCCACTCATACGAAATCCCCTCTAGAATGAACACACTTTTGAACAAAATCAAAATAGCACCAATTCGGCAACTGAAGTGGAACATCCTTTGCTTCACCATTGCTGTTTATATCCCTTTAACTAAATTGCAACACAGGMAACAAAGGATTTAACACTAGCTTTCCTACTTTACAATATTCTGAATGCACTCTAGTACAATTTCACGGATTACCAATAGAATGGTTTTCATTTACCCGTGAAACAAAGTAAGGTGTCGACTGATGTCTATTTCACCATCACACCTAAATAGTCAAGTTTCGTTTCACAGGTTTACAGATCTGACTTTAATATCGCGTAAAACCGTGTAAAATAAACAGTAA